TCCCGGTGCGATTGCTGTCCGGTCACAACAAAAAACAAAATGGGAAGCCCAGCCAGGGCCCCAAAGGGACGACTCCTTTCTAGGCTCCGCCATTGCTGAACGACTGGGTCAAAACTGAACACTCTGGAAAGCACCGGCACATACCGTTCGTTCTCCGTAGCCTGAATGTGTAATGAATGGTTTCACCACAGCCCAAAGAACCATAGCTCTTAAGGGTAAACCCCCTTACATGTGTCACGTGTAAAACCACAGCCCAAAAGAAGCATAGCTCTTAAGGGTAAACCCCCACACATGTGTAAAACCACAGCCCAAAATAAGCATAGCTCTTAAGTTTAAAACCACAGCCCAAAAGAACCATAGCTCTTAAGGGTAAACCCCAAACATGTGTAAAGGAGTTCAAATCAAGCGTCTATAGGTCGGACCCAACTATGGTACCACTATTTCGGAAATCCAACTTACCCATAACTATGGTATTATTATAGTTATGGGTAGTTATGGTATAATAATTGATAATTCTAGTCATGGGTTATTCTGGGTAGTTCTGGGAGTTATCATTATTACCCCTGAGGGTAGTTGTAGTTGTCTTATAATTACAATTATGGTACCACACCCAAACATGTGTAAAGAGAAGTGCAAACATACGAGCCACTTGACTCGGTTGCTTTCTGCACCCCTGCTAAAAGTTTATATTTGTTTTACTTGTTTAATGCGGAAAGCCCAAATGAGTTGGCAAAAAGTTGTTCAATCCAAACATCCCGTGGCAAAATGCACTCAAGTTGAAGCCATCCAACTCGTCGCCACCCGGCCGGGCCTTCGCATGGCCGCTGCACAGCAGCGAGCAGGTCCCGCACTTGGGCGGGCCATGGATTCCTGATCCAAAACCGGGTTGGGACCGATCCCATTTGGCTGTGGCTCAAAAATCCGATGCCAAAATGGAACCCTGGTAAGTGGAAACATGGACCAAAACCTGCGTAACCCCTGCTTTGTAATTTTGAGCCATACCCATTTTGGGGTAGCTGAATTCACCAACAAAGGGGACCCCCAAAACAGGGGACCCCCCCCCAAAAAAAAAGGAACCAATTCTGGGGGAAGTTTGGTTGGTAGCTGAATTCACCAGCCATGGTAAAACCTATTTTAAAGGGGATTGAATCGGATGTTCACTGGGAAAAAGGGGGTGTTGACCCATAGCCATTTCATTTCATTTCCCCTGCAACCTAAACTTGGTTGACGTTGGAAAGGGAGCAAAAAACACGAAAACTTTAGCAGTTAAGTGGTTGGAATTCAACCACTGAACCACAATAAGCAAAAAATGTAACAACAAAAAACATGCTTCCCAACAACAACCACGCAAAAGGCGCCGGCGCTGATTCACGCTTTTGGGATCAGTTTGGAGCAGATTCGCTCTGAGAAAAGTGGAAAACACCTGGTATTGACTCCTCATTTGGCTTCTCTCCGGGAAAGCTGACATTGGGGTGTCTTCGTTTGCCCTCTATACTGGCCAAATCCAAATCCGGCTTGGATCATTGACAACTCAACATGGCCGGTTGCCTGTTAGGTTTTTTGCAAACCTGTCCGTGAGCTCGCTTTATGCTCGGCGAGCTTGTTATGTGTTGCTCAGTTTCACAATTTCCGTCCCGTTTTGGGGATGTAAACCCTGGTTCTTGTAACTTGAGGAGCGGGTGAACGAAAGCTAGCAGTTGTTGCATGAGATGGGTCGGTGACAGAGTGGATTCATAGGTAGCTTGTGTACAACGAGAGGCCCGGCAAGATTCGTAGGATGCGACATGCAAACGCACATGGTGGCGTGGCAAACCTTGAAAAATGAAAACAACGAGAGGCGTCAGAAGCTGTCTGAAAGCACCTCTGGGTTCTGCATGCTGCGTGTGCAAAGATTCTTGCGAGGTGGTTTACCGAGAAGACTGAGGTCTCAAATGAACAAGCTGAATCGGTGGAACATGTAAAAGTTCGTAGCACCAAGTCCAAAACGGGCAAACCGAGACTGCTGAACACTGAGCCACTGCCCGGGGGGGGATGGACCAGGGAGGAATCGAGCCTGAGACCGGGGGGGGGGGGGGGGGGGAGGGGGGGGAGGGGGGGGGGGGTCTAAATAATTGATGTTTTTCAATCTTTTCGGCTCAAATAATTGAACAAATCAATTATTCGGCATTTGAGCCCCTTACCTTGCTTACGCAAGGAGAAACTTCAGCTAGCTAAAGCTAGCTTTCGTGACATGGTAGAGGGCAAATGGGAAACCAGCCCGAAATATCCAAACCACCAAGTCGAGGGAAGCAGTCCATCGCTATTCAAAGTTGAGCTCTTGCCAGTCGCGCGGACATGCAGATGTGCCTCACCCTCTGTCCAGGAAGCCGGTTCAAGCACTCACTTCCTGAGTGAATGGCCCCGAACAAGTCCAAACTTTGTTTTTACCACTAAAATGGTCTTCTCAAAAAGTGACTCAAGTCCAGTTTTTCAGGAAGCTTGTTCGCAACAAATCCCTCCCATATAACAAAAGTTTTCTTAGGGGGAAACTCGCTGGTGCTCAGCAGGCAAGTAGGGAATGACCCCTACAAACCATTCCTTTTTGCTTACCAGGGGACCAAAGGCTGGGTTCATTCCCACATTCCCTACTTCTCGCAGCAGCAAGAAAAGGATCGCAGCTAAAAACTTCTGGCACCTGAGAACCCGATCGCTGAACCTAGGCCGGGCCACCGAGACAAGCTTCCGCATCCATCACTTCCGGGGCATCCTGGGCGAACTCTCGAGGTGCTGCGATCGATCGACACGGGCTTCGAGCTTCTCACTTGAGTAGATGGCCCGAAAACAAGTCCCTCACTAAGCGGATGGCCCAAACAAAAGTTCAAACTTTAAACTTACCACTAGAATGATCCAAACCCAAAAAGTCTAAAGTTTATGAACTCAGGAAGTGAGGAGGGGCAATTTTCGTTGGTTGCCGCTGAGATTTATTTTCCAATTCCCAAGAGTGGTGCAAGTGCGGCAACTCGGGGAGTGAGATGTGGGAATGAACCCATGACCCACATGGATGGCCTCACTTCCTTAGTGGATTGGTCCAAAAATCTAGGTCCTCCAGTAGAGAGGTTAGAATAAGGGTACTCTTTTGTTCTGTAGTCTATTTTAGAAGGGGAACCTCCCTCAAAAAGGGTTAAAGGCCCATTACTGGGGGACCTGGAAAGATCTGCCACCAAAATGGCCTGCCCAAAAAGGCACCAAAAAGCCCGAGAGCTCGGGAAGTGAGCGGGCAGACTCTGGGAAACAGCTGGAGCCTTCGAGAAACTTCGGCCTGGCCGCAATGAAGTTGCTGCGACCTACTGTTCCAAAAGCAGTGACGGGGAAGTTGCTGTGCCCATAGCGAACAAAGGGCAGTGAAAGGTGGTCTTACAGCAAAAAGTGACCCGCTGCATAGAAACAGTCTCAACCCATAGATGCTTGCTTCTCCGGTGGAGGGAAAAGGGACACTGTGTACGGTGGTTCTGTTTGACAGTGGCGAACAACAACTATGGGTGCAACTACGGCTGTAGAGGTACTCTAGAAAACGCTTTGGATGTGACTTGTGTGGATCCACACCTGCCAGGATATTAAAAGAGTACTAAAAGATCACTGAAAAAGCACCAACACAGAAACTGTTTGTGAAATCCACGAAAAAATGAAAAAGCGCCTCTCCAAACTGATTGCTAGAGGTTTTCCGCCGCTCGACCGCATGTGAACCCGTCCTGCGTGAACAAGGGCTGACCAGTACACGCCCACGGGGCGATGCACCTCAGGCGAACCGAAGCTAAAAGTTTGGGCAGACCCAAGGACCGGACCGGGGTGTCGGTTCCCTTCAAAACTTATGACAATCCCGGTTTCAAGAAAAGACATTAGCAAAATCCATGGGGAAACAACACCCTGTGGTTTCATGTGGTTTCCAACGTGGAGGACCCATCCTTGTGGTTTATGCGGAAAAAAACAAACAAACATCAATTGGACCCGACAAGCTCCTCGAGTACCGACTTGCTTCCGGCTGAAAGGGGTCCTCTTTTTGTTGCGAAAAAGATAATAGGTTCGGGCCGAGCACTTGTCCGCACATGTTTCAACCACTGCTTGAACAACAGTAAACAATTTACCTACTTCTGACGTAACATACTTCTGAGGTCAACATTCAACATACTTCTGAGGTCTCAATTCTTACTTACTCAGTGGGCAAACTGCATCGCATCTCCAAGGTGTCCAACTGGTCCCTCTTCGGCACCCCACTAGAACTTGAAGGGCGCCCACCACCGCCTTCAATGACCACTGACCCCTGGGGAGACAAAGCATTGGAACACAGTTTCTAGGTTTTCTAGGTCCCGAACCCATCAACAAAAAAATGGATGTAGAGGGTGCGGCTGAACCACTGGGAAGAGAGTTGTCACGCCTGAGCAACGCCTGATCCCCACACCACTTTGATTGTCGAGGGGCTCTGCCTGATGCGGCAGGATGGGAGCTCCCACCCAGTCTTCCTGCCAGTGCAGCACGTCCTGCAACCGAAGACGAAGCACGATGCAAACCTTGCACCAAAGGAGTTTAGCCGACATCATGCGAAGAATCAACAAGTCGTGTTGCCAGCGTACCTGGAGTCTCCATGACCCTTCAAAAATGGGGTCCTTACCCAACATAAAGGGCTCACGACCCCTTTTTTGGACTGTCCCTTCCTAGCTGCAACCCAAGCTCGGAAGCACACAGGGAACATGTGGCCTCCAGCCCGCGAGCTCGTTCCGCGGCGGACTTTTTGAATTGATGCACACTGCGCGTGAGAAAGGGAATAAAGGGCCGAGCAAGTCCAAAGCTCAGGGCTAGGACACCTTTCTGGCTAAAGAAGGCGGCATGTTGTGTTTTTTACCCAAAAAGGAATCCGTTGCCATTTTGTTGTGAAAACACATTGTTTTACTTTCAAAAATAATCCGTTGCCATGTTCAGGTGAAAACACATCTATGGTTCACCAAGAGCATGGTCTTCAACACGAATTGCTGCAGGTAGGCCTTGCTCGTAAGCCCTTTAATTAATTACACGCCACATGCCGACAGAGATACCAACCCCAGCATCTCCACATTCAGACACTGGCGGTACCGACCGACCCCTGTTAAGGGTGGCAAACTGTGCGAATCTTGACAAGGGACCCTGTCGTGAACACCAAAAAGGGGGGCTCATGAGCTCATGTCCACCAACCACCTCTGGAGGTGGTTCCTTAACATTCATGGCCTTTGTCTTTTCGGTCTCCGGTTGTTGGCCGCCTAGGGCGCCACAACTGCAAAGTCCCCAAAGGGATTGGCCGGATCCACTTGGAGCTCCAGGTTCTTCTCGTTGCAGAGGTGCAAGGCACAGATGAAGCACACCGCCGCGCTCAAGTTCTCGCACTCGCCCTTTGGCATGGCGGACACCGTGCCTCAGGCGGAAAAAACCTCCCCAGCAACCCCCTGCCCTAAGGGTCCGATGAGTCCCGACTGTTTTGGGGCCCTCCAAATAGGTTGTTTTTGAGGCCCCGTGAGGAGTCGGGGTCTCCATTGGAGGATCCGGCGGGGGTCATGACCCTTAGGGTGGGTCTATTAAACGCAGCAGACCAAAATCTACGGGACCCCCTGGTTTTGGTGGGTAGTGAGGGGAAAAGTCCCGTTTGTTGCTCCAAAAGCCTTACAATGTACTTGGGACCGTGGGGCGAAGTAGACATCACCCACTTACAGCAAAGGCTAAACCAAATAACATCACACGCAACATGATCTAACATGGACGTACCCCACCGAAGGATCCATGCCGATTCAAGAGTGGTTTCCCCAACCAAAAAGAGGCTTCACAGGTCCCGAGAAGAGTTAAACCACAGGAACTGTTGACCCTTTGTTCACCCTTCTGTTGCTTGTGAAGATGTGAAGATGTTTTGATGCTGGCGAATTGCTCACCCAGCAAACTGAACCAAGAAAATAGCGAAAAGGCTCAAAACTTGGCTTTGCCACTGAGATACTTGTCCGTGTGCAAATGCTGTCTACGTTGCAAAGTAGGGTTTTGGCCCCAAATGAAACTTGTCTTCCCTTTGGTTTCCCCTCAACCCGTTAACCAACAAGTAGCCAGCCCCAAATAAAACTTGTCGTCATGTTGGCTTCCCTTCAACCATTCACCCACAAGTAGCCCCAAATAAAGCTTGTCGTCCTTTTGGTTTCCCCTCAACCTTTTTAACCCCCACATCCACACCCACACCCACACACACACACACCCGCACACACCCCTACTGAGAATCCAAGAGGCGGGACACCAGGCTCTGGAAGCTCCTGGATGCGATCTTGGACTCCGCCTTCCCGAGATCTTTCTCGAGGCAGCCCCAGAGATGCTTCTTCACCAGCTTCACGTCCTGCAAGCAGAAAAAAGCGAGCGACTCAGACTCGCCGGGTCATATGGCTGTGGGTCAAAAATATGTAAGCAACATGGCTTGCCCTAGTGAATGGAACCAAGGACTTCATAGACCCACTAGGTCCTCCAGATTTGAGAGGTTAGAATGAGTTGGTACCAACTTTTTGCTGTAGTCTATTTTAGTAGCGGAACCCTCGCAACCAAAAAAGGGTAAAAGGGCACTACTGTGGGTCAAACAAATGTGTAAGCAACATGGAACGGTGAATGGAACCAAGGACTAAAACCTGCGTGCCCCTGGTGGACTGCTTTTGACCCAGACCCACATACCCACAACTAAGAACACGACCGAATAACCTGTTTTTGCCTGACAAAGGAAACACGAAAGGACCCAATATCATTTCTCTACCCGAAAGTGGCGTGCCATTGCTTGAGGTTTGGAGCCATTGCACATTGCGTCCGCTGCGCACTCTGGGGGACGTGTTTTGAGAGGGAAGCCCCCAAACACGGATTCCGACCATGGGAACGGCTTTGAAGTTCGAAAGCAACCGAACAAGACAAGCAGCGTTTCACAGACACAAACACACAAACACGCAAACAGACACACACACACAGAGACACACAGACACAGAGATACACAGACACCGAGACATACAGACCCACACACACACAGACATAACCATATGAGTGCAAGTATGGGCAAGACACCAAGCCTTATGTCCTGCTTGGGTTTTTAAAAAGACAACCAGACCAAACGAGTGTCCCAGCTTTGTCTTGCCGTGCAAAACCGCAAGCTGACCAAACACCATGCGACTTTTTCAATTTTTCCAACTTCCAACCTTCCGACTTCCCAACCAGCCAAAAAAAACCAAAAACGACCATGCAACCATCCGACCCCCTAATCACGGCCCTCATTTCCCTTGCGTCTCGTGTCGCCCGAATTCCGTCGGAAGAAACAAATTTGCCGAAAAGCCAAGAAGCCAAAAGCGAAAGAAACAAAACACAACAAACCAGCCCTTGAAAAAACACCCCTCCAACAATTTGTCCCTTCCGCCAGCCGAAGCCAAACAAAATCCGAGGCGCCACGAACTTGGAGTTGCGGCTGTAGCCGATGTCCACGTTCTCCGCGGAGGTGGGCTTCTCCGCTAGCTCGAAGTCCAGGCCAGCCTCCGGTGACCCCGAACCCGACCCCCGTTTTGGCTGTCTGGCCTCATTATTTTACTGATCAAAGTCACCCCAAATGTGGTGGGTTCAAGGGAAACATCTTAGAACCTCCAGAAAAAGAAAAATATATAAAAACATACTGTAAAAACCAAGTCACCCCCCAAATGTGGTGGGTTCAAGGGACACATCCCTCATTTGATCTGACTTTGATCACCTTCAGAGAGGTTCAAACTAGTGACCCCAGTTTTGGCTTCAAAGTCAGGTCGCGCTTTTTGCAGTAGTACCTGGGCTGCCCGTTTTCAGATCCCCTGCTAAAAGTGACGAACTTTTCGGGGGTTAAATGGAAACTACCACTAAACACTAAAAGGCTAAAAAGCTATGGAACCGGATGGCTGGGAGCCACCAAGGTACCGTTTGGCGGACATCATTTGGCAATGAGTTTGTTTCAGAGTTGGAAATTCGAAAATGGATGGTGGACATTCTTCCTAAATGATGTCCACCAAAGGGTCCTCAATTTAAGATCATACCCATTTGGCCACGTAGAAAAGGGTTCCCCAGTCGGATGGGAGAAACAATATGAGACCGTCTGGCAAATGCCCTTCGATCTATGCCCAAGTTACACCAAAGATTGGCCAAATCAAGTCCCCCGAACTGAGAAGCTGAGAAGGGTGAACGTGCTCCAAGAGAAGTTGGAGGGTAGTAGCGTAAGGCGAAGAAAGGTCATCTCTGAAATTTGATTGAACAAGGACACCACAATTCCACGCCACAAGAGGCCCCCCAATTTTTGCAAGGGGAGAGGAGACGTGGGAAAAAGTAATGCTGACCCCGCAATAGTCAGTGCCGAGAAGGTTTCCGGGCTGCCCGCAAAAGTGAAGAATCCCCTCTAGGATGGCACACTCCCCTAGGTCCTGCAGTAGAGAGGTTAGAATAAGGGTACCCTTTTTTCTGTAGTCTATTTTAGTAGGGGAACCCTCCCCCAAAACAGGGGAGAGAAGGGCACTACTGGGGGACCTAGTCCCCGTATTCCTCAACCAGTTGATAAATCAGGGCCCAAAATTCGAATCTTCCGCAGGTCCAGGGAGCCTGGCGAGAATTCTCCGTCCGAGTAGCCATGAAGTCACCGGCCGTGTCCTCGCCGAGCTCATCCCCATCACCGCCGGGCAGCACCTGACGCAACTCGGCCCTTCTGGTTCAATGGGGGGAAGACCCAACCAAAACGAGTTCTCGGAAGCCCCCTTTAAAACCCGCTGGCCGGCAACCCACAACCCCTTTTTGGAATCCACGGGAGGACCCCTTCTTGCTTCCACGTTTAAGTTCAAAAGGAGCATGGGGAGCATGGTGCATATGATCCTTGGTTGGAGTTGCGCGCACAGAAATCCATGGAATTCAACTTGCGTACATGCCTAAGGCAGCGGCATTGCAAAGGCTGTGCTAAGAGGGAGGCGCAGAGGTGCCCAACCAGGCAGAATTGAAGAAGCCAAGCAGGCCACAGCAACCGCAAAAGCAGAGTGAGTAGGTGGCAAATGAGTGGTTCATTGGGCAAGAGCTTGGTTATTTGGATAAAAAAACGACATCAAACTTGTTTTTTTCAGGTATCCCACAACCCCATGCTAGTTCTTTGGGCCTTTTAACCTCACCTTACAGGAGGCAAACCCACTCAAAATGGCCCCCCAAAGAGGTTCAAACCACAGGAAACACCGCCGAAGCCCCTTGGGCCAACTCTTGAGGGTTGAAACAGAATCTACCCCTTGACCCCTTCAGCTTCGCTTGGTTCATCTGCGGCTCAAAAAGGAATCCAATTTCTGCCCTCGCCTTGTCGTCCGGCCCCAAGAACAGCTCCTGCCATCGAGCATTTTCCGCAAACAAATGGGATCGATCTGTTCGGATGGTTCAGGGCTCCCGGCTGGTAACCTTAACAACATGAATTTGACACAAAAATTGACAATTGAAAAACCGCTGGCAACCTTGGTAGCATGAATTTGACACAAGAATGGACAATTGAGACACCGTTCATCATGAAAATGTTTTTCTTGGCTAGCTACGTTATGCTTGAAAATCACAGCTATTTGGATATCTCCAACCAAACGTCCATGTGGTTCCCTCGTTCCCTGCAAAATTCAGGTGGCATATGGACTCACACCCCCGAAAAGAGCGAGCGGTCTTCACACACCTTCCGAGCGTTAGCTTCCAGGATTGCAAGTAGGGAACAAGTTCAAAACCGTGCAGCAACTTACCAGCATTCTCACTTCCCACTGGATTGGTCAAACCTCGGTTGCTTTCCGCTCCCCTGCTAACAGTTTAACTTTTAGTGGTGTTAAAGGAAACACGTTATAGTTGGCAAAAAAGGTTAAAGTCCTAACATCCAAGCAAAATGCACCAAAGAAACAAAGTCTGAGCTGTTTACTTGCCACCAAAATGATGTTCCCATAAAGTTGGAAGTCCAGGAACTCCGGAACCCAAGTGAAAAAAAATACCAGGGACTTTTGTGGTTGGATGCGGCTGGTTCAGCTGCAACTTTTAGGCACTGCGCCCCTCGCTCCCCTCGATCGATCCCACATCGGCTCGATGGATCGCACGTCGTCTCGCGCGACTCCTGAGGGTCCACTTCCAAATGCGCCGGCAAGCCGCTGCCATCGTCCTCGAAGTTCTCTTCGCCCAAAAGCTCGTCCTCGGCATCCTCGGCGCGTGGAGGCACCAAGCACCGTTTTGCCTTATAGCTATTTCTTCGCGTCTTTTTCTGGTTTCTTGGTTGCTGTTGACCCCCCTGCAAAAAGTTTAACTTTTTTGGGGGTTTAGTGGAAAACACCCTTATTTTTCCAAACAGTTAAAGTCTAAAGATCCAACCCAATAGCAATCAAGGTTTGATCAGAAAAAGCTTACAGACTTGTTCTTGATCCCTCAAAAGATCTTGCCCAGAAAGTGTGAAGTCCAGAAACTCGGCAAGTGAGTTGCCTTGTTCCCGGAGCACGAATCAATGAAGAGACCCTTACTCAAGGTATGCTCATAGAGCTTGTATATACCCCTAAACAACAGGAGTCCATGGTCCCCGATTTCGGGAGAACCTAAGATAGCGCCGGTTGCGTTTTTGCGACGGTTCGATAGGCAGGAAATGAGTTGGAATAACCCCGAGAAAAAACCATCCCCTGTTGCCTTTAAGGGAATGCCAGGTTGATTCCGAAAGCCCGGAAGGCCATGTGTTGACATCCTGAAGATGGGTCCATTCCCTACTGAGCTCCAGCAAGTGTTGACATCCTGAAAATGGGTTGGCCATGGGAGTCTACCGCATGGTCATAGTCTATGTACTCTACGTGAGGCGCAGTCCAAACAAATCTCAGACGATATGGGCAAAGTAAGGAGTGCCCTGCTGTTTTGCTTTGCGGGAAACTTTCGAGTGCGGTCCCCTTCTGGTCCCTCCCATATGGACCATCATCGCAAATTCCCGAACCTTGGCTTGGATCGACCCCCCAGGTGGGAAATAGGGCGTCTTGAAAAACCAACAGTGACCCATCCCTATTAACCAAAACCGTTTTGGTAGGAAGGGCGTCGCGAAAATCAAAATCGACCGCGTCCCTTTTCGTCTTTGTGAGGTCCCCAAAGTGCCTTCCCATTTCCGGTGCGCCAGGCTGCGTCCCTGCGAGCGGCCTTTTCGGACGCCAGCCATGGGAAGGCCTGGCGGGGAGAAATGTCGAGAAAGCAGAAAGGAAGAACGGAACCACCCCCAACCATAGGTGTCCTTTCTGGGAAAATAGATGGGCCTGGTCAACGGAACAAAAGCAACCTAAACCAGTGCCATCTGTTTCTAAACAAAATAAGCTGAAAAGGACACCTATGCCCCCCAGTACAGTAATTACTTGGGATTTTAGACATGGAGATTGTTGGAAGGTGCTGCAATACCCTTCACATCACCCCAAAAGACAATCACCGAAAACTGCCCCCCAAAAGGCGATGTTTAAGCCTAAGCGTGAAAAGAATTCCCGAGGAAGAAGGAAAGCTTACTGCCATGCTGCTATTTGACCTACTTCCCTATGACGTCACTACCCAGTGGCCCTGAGGAATAATTGCCTCCCAAGATAGGCACGTTTGAAACCCAATAATTTCGAATTTGCTAGCGCAGTAACTTGCTAGCAATGTATAAACACTTTGTATACTGCCAACAAGAAGCAAACGTAGACCAAGTCCAGACTTGACAGATCCGCCCATGGTGCGGGTTCGGTTTCTTGGCCACTTCAAACATCCTGAAGGACATCCATTGGTCCTAAAGCTGACATTTTAACCACCCAAAAAGGGGATGAGAAAAATCCGCCTGAAGCCCTCCAAACACGACATCTTTGTGTTCAGTCCATAGGTCAATCCCTGAGCGCGAAAGTGCTAAAAAATGAAACGACCTGGGCCCCCGTCTGTCTGGGTCTCACTTTTCTTGCTGGTGCGAGAGGTAGGGAATGACCTTCCGGGTGTAAATGAACCTGTGGATTCTCTCAAGGAAACCATTTCTCGGGGTCATTCCCTCGTTTTGTTGCCGTTGAAAGACAGTTCTGACCCGTAACTTTGACAAATCTTACGCACATGAAGAACAAAATACACAAAATACCAATTACATGCGTCTGTCCCAAACAGAATTTACATAAACAGAGAAGTGCACCATAATGCTGTCACATCCCTGTAAAAACACCTTCAAATCGTACCACTAATCTACACTAAAGCCGTTGCGGTCGTGTACACATCGTTCAATCAACTGTTTTGCCCGGCACGTTCTCTACCTTGTCTTCTTGCACCTGCAAGGGTCGTCACAAATGCTCGGCCTTAATGATGGTCACCTGCAAGTTTATATAAAAAAAAGGTTTTCCCGGTCGCCTCGTTGTTCTCCACCACCACCGTGGAGAAGAGGTCCGAGAAGCCGTGGGGCCCCTCGTTGGGCGGCGGGGGCTTGCGCACCAGCTTCAGCATCAGGTGCGGGCGCAAACCCAGGCAGGCGAAATCCACCTGCGGCTTCGCGCGTATAAAGCCCCAGAAAAGCGAGGGGGGGGGAAGAAAAACCACCGGAGCAAAGCAGAGACACAACTGAGTGGATCCATTTACCTGGTATTGTAGGTAAAGGGAACCCCGACCCCCCCCCCCCAATATAAAAACCAAAAGGACAATAATTGGTGACCTACTAGAATGGTTGGGATCCACTGTGTCGATTCAGTGGGGTGCCACCCACTCTGAGCTCTGAGCAGGGCTCAATTGATGAGGTCAACAGGCAACTTTTGACCTGCAGAAATGTTTGGGATCTCAAAAGGCCTGCGTCGTGCACTCGGGCGCAGTTGGGAAGGCAGTTTTGGACATATAGTTTGGAGACGGTAAGCGTACACCATCAAGAGGCAAGCCTTGCTACTGGATATTGGAAGAGAGTGTCACATGAGAGTTCCTAACATGTCCCCTGCAAACATCACCCAAAAACAATCCACTTACAAGCGGGCTAGAGGTGATGTTTAATCTGACCCGAAACGAGATATATTCAACCACATTGCCATCAAACAACACAAGTGGACAGTGGACAGTGAACTCTCGAAAACTAATCAACCTGCGCAACCGAGAGAAAGAGGGCCACCCAAACCAATACCCTTGTAATCGCACTGTTCCGAGTCTTCGAGGTTACCCTCAAGTTCTCTGTTAGGGAATCATAGCCCTCTTGAACTTACATGAAAGGGATGCCAAAAAGTTGCCCTAATTTTGACAAACCCCAACATGGGTGTAGCATGTTTGGAGGGTACCCTTGTTGGATGGTTTCAAAGGGAAACAACCAGGAACTCCACCTATTTTGAGGTCCCCCTTGGAGACAAGCCCACATTTTACCAAAGGAAACCCATGGTTCATGGCTCACTAAAGGAAACCCGTACTTAGATTCATCAAAACCCGTGGATCGCGGCGGCCTTGGACCAGGTTTGCCAGCTGGGCATGGTGATGCGATCGATCATGTAGGGCGGCACGTCCTTCCGCAGCTGCCACTGGGACGCCTTCTCCTGAGATCGGCCAACCCCCAAACGGATCTCGGAAGCTTCCGCCGGGCTCCCTGAAAAAAACGACGCCAAACAGGGGGGATTCTAAAACACACAAACAAAACGACTCATCTGGGGTGGGTCTGTCTGCCTTTGCAAGCAGCTAAACCTTTTGTTCCCACGTAGATCGTGTCGCTTCCTGAGATTGTCCGAAGTGACCAAAGTCCAGGAACTCAGGGAGTGGCTACCCTTGGGCTAGGGAACCTGTCGGCAAACCAATAGAGAAACCATAAGCCAGAGAGAGAACAAAAAAGAAAAAAAATACAAACCACATTGGGCTTCCTCAAAAATAGGGGACCCCTAGTTCAATGGTTTTAGGGAATCCAAAAGGAAACCACCAACCTGGAGGGGTCCCCATTTTTGAGAAACATCCAGCCATCACCGCATTTTTGTGTTGGAAAACCACCATTTTGGAGGGGTTACCCTAGACAGAAAAAGGATGAGCCATCTGCAAAACCATAGGGAGTGAGTGTACAACATGCCGCCGTGTCTCGTTCATCTGGTGCTTTGCCACCGCCTCCGTCTCGATGGGCTTGGTCGCCTCCAGATTCGTCAGGTCGAACCTGAGAAGAAGGTGTTTCACCTTTTTATGGGTCCAATTCGGAGAATTGGACCTGTTTCAACCGAAAAGTCAAAGTTCAAAGATTCACACTCGGAAAACACCAGCCCACTCCAACAAATCGCGTTGCTCAAGGGAGCCTCCTAGAAAAACGGACAATTCCCTGGGTAAATACGTGCCGGTTTGGTCAGGGGTTGCCAATGAAGCGCCCCAGAAACAGAGTTGAGATCCATTCACAGCCGAATGGAGACCAGAACGCACAAGTGGCAAACATCGCAGAAGCTTTGGACTGGAACCATTCCCCAAAGCCCGGAAAGGGGAGTGCGACACCTCAGTCCGGTGACAGAAAAAGGGCACCCCCTTTTGTGGGTGTTGACCACTGTGAGTGCGGCACCCGAGAAAAACCAGAAAGAAAGAAAAACAACGAACAACAAATAGAGGGAGTCAGCGCAACGCTTGGGCTGAAAGCCACGGGCCCAACCCTTGGCACGTGACCCGCTTGGACAGAACCAGAGAAACCCAAGCCCAACATTCGGTTTCAGACCGAACAGGGCGCTGCCAAGCTGCAAAACATGCAGGCAGTTCAACGGAAAACACGATAAAACGCTAAGGAAATGGAGCCCAACAAAACACGTTCACTGATTGCTATAGGCTATATAGGTAACCTGCCCGGGACTCCTGCAAATACAAAGCCATTTACACTGCACAGAGCCCAAAGACTGGTGTCAGCAGTTGCATGTTTGTTGGGATCTGCGTTTAGTTGGCTTTCAAGGAAAAACCGAAAGGAGACCAACCACTGTTGGGGTCCCCTACTGCAAACACTTGGGAAACCGGGCGTACCATTTCTATCATCCAAGCCTAGTAACTTGCCGCACAGCGGGGAATGAGGAAATGACCCCTATCAACCATCCATGTCCTATGGTTTCCTTTATTCGGAATTCCAAAACGGTTCATTCCCTCATTCTCTGTTTATGGCACCAGCAAGGTAATTTAGGCAGGCCATGGAAAGCACCCGGAAAAATAAATAAATAAAAAAACAGAATAAAAAGTCCATTTGCTGTTCAGCCTCTGGAAAATAAACAAACAACCGTCCGGTAGTGAAAGTTTGATTCCCTTGAAAGCCAAACAGGGTAAACATAACAAAATGTTCTTAAGCAAATGGTATACCGTTGGTTTCATCATTCTAGTCAGGGGCCAAATAACTTACGGCGCAGATCCGGCGATTCGATTTGGATATTGGTCAAACTTATATAAACCACCAGGAATTGGACCGCAGCTTTCAATTTTGGGGTTAGCCGATTCTTGACCACCACAGCCATTTGGCTGTGGGTCAAAAATAGGTACCCAGAATGGAACCCTGGTAGAAGGAAACATGGACTAAAGCCGGTCCAATTCCTGGTGGTAATTTTGACCACAGCCGTTTCAGCAAAGGAAAGACAAAAACCACGGGCCGCGGGGCAGCGGGCGCTTGGAGCTCCGGTCCTTGGGCTCTTTGGGCTCCTTGGCCTGCGCGGTTGGAGGCCCGTAAATACGGGTCTGAGGTTTGTGGAATCCATTTGGTGGGTCTCATGTCTCAGTGGATTTGATGGAAGAGATTCTCCCGGGCTCCGACCCTTTACAACTCTCGTCTTTCTGGTCACCTGATCGGACTGTGGGCTTCTGGGTATGTTCATACGAGCCATGATCGAAACCCCTAATGTGATTCCCTTAATTACCGGCAATGGTCAACGTGTCCCTGATTCAAGGGTCCGCACTACCAGCACTACCAACCAGTAAACAGGTGTTTGGACTACGGCACCAATGAACCATCTCTTGAATGGCCCTCTAGTGAGTTGTTAAAACCTATAGGTTACACATTCCAAGTGGAGTTCACCTTGCTGATTGGTAGTGGGTTATTGCCAGACCACTTAAGATCCAAACACTCTCTCATGATGTTCCTTTTCGGGGGTGCTGGTGAAACAAGCAAACATGATCAGGGGAAACCGCCCAAAGGCAGACTAAGGCCAACTAACCTTGGGCCAATCCCAGGGAATGCCAAACACAATGCGTTCAGAGTGGTTTTTCACATGCCAACAATAACATGTGAAAAAGGAGAACGGAGATCCCAACAGCCAGCGGCCACGGCAAAAAAGGCCTTGAGTTTTTGGGGTAGGTGAGTTGAAAGGTAAACCCTTCTGAAACACAAGCCCAGGCATCGCCGGAACTGGAAGCCTCCTTTTCAACCCTACCTCAGAGCCCCGAACCCCGGAGCCTATCTGGGCCTATCGACCCCATAGCTTCCAGCGGTTGGGGAATCAAAGAAGAACAAACAAACTGCTGGGTGTTTAGGATTGTTTAGGGCTGGACTTGGTCACGACCTATCGACCCCATAGCTTCCAGCTGTTGGGAAAAATTAGGTAAAACTGGCACACCAGGTATGGGCTGGACTCGGTCACGAGTGCCACCCACTGAGTCGTCCCAGATACTCGAGCCACACGTTCGAGCACCCGGCCTCCACAACAGCCCCCTCGGCGTCCGCCAAGCTCGACTTCGCCTGCCGCAAGGGGAGACACCGCAGTGGGATCCTGTCGAATACTTGGTTGCTGTTGATCCCTCCACAAAAAGGTTTGTCACTTCTTGCGGGTCCAATTCGGAAAATCCGACCTGTTACACCATAGGGACCAGTTTTGCGAGTGCTCGTTTCAAGACAAGCTGGAATGCAATGGGCCTAAAAGGTGTGGAAGCATTGGTTCCGATCATCTTCTGTGCCTTCGGAGCTTTTCACAGCTGACTTTGTGTCCGCTCTTCCTCGCCCTGGCTGGGCTTTTGCTTTCAGATGGGATCTGGGCTGCTTGTCTTGACCCTTAAAAGGGGATTGGGGGGGGAGGAAACATGGGAAAACTACGTTCTCACCACGCACACACGCAGCCGGGAGGTGACGATCGACAGGGGCGGTGGGCCTCTTGATCTCCGCAACTCAGGGGGAACCCTTGTGGGTAGAAGGGGTGGGCGGGCAATCTTTGGGGGTGGGTGGGTGGGGCCTTTTGATCTCCGAACAACTCAGACTTCACGGGTGCCTTGTGGGTCTTGGACCAGCACTCGTCGAAGTAGGCGAACTGGTTGGCGCCGCCCCCGCAGAACTTCTGGAAGAGCTCGTCGAAAGCCACCACGTCGTCCTGGTTGAGCGAGCCATGCCATGCCGTGCGAGCCCCGAAGAACGGGGCCCGCCCGAGCTCTTTGAGGTGGTTTTCGTCTGCGCCCCAAAAGGGCGCCCGGGACAAAAGCCAGGTGTCTGCCCTTTCTGAGTGGAAGAATCCGTCAGAAGTCCAAAAGCTTGTTGTTTACCACTGAAACGGTCCAGACCCAACAAGCGTACAGTCCAGGAACTCAGGAAGTGAGAAGGAATTGAAACCTTAACCAACCACCTGCCAGGGGAAACCAAAAGGTCGAATCAGGTCGAGCACTTGCTTTGGGCAAGTGAGAATTCTCCCCTTCAGATTCTGGCAGCCCCGAATTGTGTCCAATCCCCAAACGGACAATGCAATGAAGGATTGAAGAGCCGGGCTGGTCAAAACGGAGAGGCCAATCCAAAACCCTTCTCTAAACCAAACGGGAGCGATGGATGCGATCCACAAACGACCCTTCGCCTTCGATTCTAGCGCAGTCTTCCCCATTCTTTCCAGGGATCCTTCTTTCTAGAAAACCTCCGGAAACCCAGAAAAGAACGATGGTTGAAAAGAATGGGGAATCAACCGTTAGAAAGATTCTTGAGCTCAATAGAAAAGCCAGTGCAGAACAAAACGCAAATGGGCTCACATGGCAGTGTTTCTGTCTGGAACCAGCACGGTCCGGGTCGCTCCACATCAACTTCGAGAAGCACACGGGATCGAGAATTGGGTTCCCAGCAAGGAGGACGTGGCCGCCCTGAGGAATGCTTCAGACAACTTGCAGCAGAACATCTTGGAGGACGGAACCCTGCCAAAGGAAACCACAGGAAATCCACCATTTCCTTTTCTGGGCTGTCCTCAGATCCCTGCTAAAAGCTTGACTTTTAATGGGTTAAATTCGAAAACCACGACTAAACCCTAAAAAGATCTAAAAAGTTATTGGGATGGCTGGGAACCACTTTTTTTTTGTTGGGGGGGGGCGTGTTCCCCAAAAAAAGACACAATCCCAGTCCTTGCTGCTGGCCGGCGCGGCCAAGACTTGCGAGGCCGACATGTCCACCAAGGGCAGCGCTCTCGGCTTCTCCTGCCTGGGCAACAAATTTGGCGGTGGCTCGAAACATCTCGCCAGGGGAGCCAGCGCCAGCCCGAAATAGAAGGCACCATACAGATGATGACACATGTGCTTCAACTCTTCCATATGGCCGTGGCTGAAAAAAAATGGAAATCCAAAATGGCACCTTGGTGTATGGAAACAAAGACCAAAACCTGCGTAACCCCAGCTGTTTAATTCTGAGCCACACCCATTTGACCGCCCCATCCGCTTCCCACCAACTAATTGGTGGTTTGGAGTGGTTTGGTGGTGGAAGGGTGTTTTCAATTAACTGGGACCCGTTCAAATCCCCAAACCACCAATCCAAACCACCAGTTAGTGGGAAGCTTTCGCACCACCGTTCAGACACCCTGGTTTCTGATTCGATTCCGCTGCAAATACCAACAAACAATGGGTCCAACCATGTTTTGAAAGTGCAGGATTTCTTCCACATTAGTAAGTGGTGCAACACTTTGGAGAACAGTCACCTACTTCCACTTAGGCAAGGAACATCTGAACTGGTTGCTTGCCACTCAAATGGTCCTCACAAAGTGTCACACTGAGCCTACTTGGTTCGGGGGACATGCCTCCGGCTTCCCAAGTCAGGAGCCGAAACCCTGGATCTGTCCAAATCAAAAGTTCGGTGGTCGGATTCCAATGGTTTGCTGCCACTCTTGGAGTTCCAAAATTGCCTGACAATTCGGATGACCCACATCCAAGCCAACAAACGGCTAGTCGACACAAGTGACGGTCTCAAGGTCTGGGATGGTGGTCTCTCAAAGCTGCATGTCAGGAGTTAGAGACCGTTTTGCGGATGGTTTGCTGGTCCTCAGTTTGGACCGGACCCTTGGGGCTTAAAGCTAGGTCCTCCAGATTTGAGAGGTTAGAATAAGGGTACCAACTTCTTTTCGGTAGTCTAGTTTAGTAGGGGAACCCTCCCCACCAAAAAAGGGCAAAAAAGGGGTGAGAAAGGGCACCTAGCTGGGAGGCCTAGAAAGGGACAGCAAGCCTGGCCAACCGACTCCACCCAAGGCGCGTGGAGGAGGGAGCGCCGCACTCGCTGGAAGCCTCCATGCCTCCGTGTCCGGTGCTGCCCATGTCCTCGTGCGCACGCACGTGCGGCCTTGAATTCACAGCCGCGGTCAAAGCGCCTTGGGGTTGCCTCCGCGTTTGTGGGTGGGAGCGTGCGGGAAAAGAAACAATGAGCAGCGGTCAAAGCACAGAAACCAAGAGATCCCGGTCGATTCTTGTCCAGAACCATGAAGGGGGATCATCTTACCTGTCTTTGGCCACGTTTAGTCTTGTACCAGTTGCAAGGAGGCTACCTCATTATTCAACTCGGGCTTCATAGATACTGGTGCCTGGTGCAAATATTGTCCCACCAGCCGAGGGTATCTGGAAGATCGGGACCGATTTTCTGTTGGGCCCAAACCAAACCCGCAGAGGCCATGGGGAAAAAGGCACCGGTATGTTTTGGTAGTCGATCTCGAGCGCAACCTTCCGGGCCAAGTTCCATGGACGACCATGGAGCATCAGGAGAACCGGACTGGTCAATCCCCCTTTGGTAGACACTTGGAGTCCTCATTTGCAACCTTCTGGTTTGGAGTATTGTTTTGGTTCGGGGCTTGGGCCTGCAAATAGAATCTGAGTTTAACAGCCATGCCCTTCCCAAACAATACTGCGACGTCAAATGGCGTCAAGACAAGACTTGCCTTTTTCAGGGTACCCTTTTTGGGTTGATCTTGAAGAGACGCCAAGGAAATTTGAGAAGAAAAAAAAACCTCTGTCCGTATTTGGCAGGGCGGATCCCACAAAGTCATCGATCAACCCCCCGCTCCTCGTCCGCAAAGTCCGGCATGTCCGGAGGCCCCAACTCGGCCTCCGCCTCCAAGGTGTGTTGTTGCTCGTGCTCAGTAGGGAATGAGACATGGAATGACCCCTATAAACCATCCAACTGGTGGTTTCCTTTAAGGGGAAACCAAAGCCTGGGTTCATGCTTTCATTCCCTACTTATCGTACCGCAAGTTTTTGGGCGACCTGTTGAATCAACCTGCTTTGCCTCAACTAGGTCCTCCAGTAGAGAGGTTAGAATAAGGGTACCCTTTTTTTTTGTCTATTTTAGTAGGGGAACCCTCCCAAGCCAAAAAAAAAAGGTGAGAAAGGGCAGCTGGGGGACCTAGTTAAGGAGATAACCAGGCGATCCCGAGCCGTGCATCCTGCCTCCAGGTTCGCGGGGATTGGCTGGGAAATGGCCGCCAGGGCTTCCGCGCTGGGGCCCGACACTGCCACACCCAGCAGATCCTCCAAGGCTTTGGGCATGGTGAAGGCGCCTCAGGCGACGGCAACCAAAAACCCGGCGGACTCTTGGTGGGAACGCGGAGGGCAACTTCTCAAGTCATGGCAACAAATGGCTGTGGGTCAAAACCAATGGGATCCCATTTTGGGGTTTTCGGTGCACCACCCATGTTAGAACCTATTTTAGTGGGGATTGAATTGGATGTTCACTGGGGGGTACGATTTGAATTTTGACCCATGGCAACAAATGGCACGTCCGAGAACTAGAGAACATTTCTCAAGGAACCCGGGTGTTAGCTGCAACTCAAACCATATGACCCATAAGACAATAACCATAAAACTCTCCATCGCCAGCCCGACGCCGCCAGATGCCGAAGAGCTGTCGCCCCAAAGCTGGCGCCGGAAGCTGTCAAGCTCGGGGCACAGCCGAGACTGCTCCTGGGCACACACAGGGAAAGGATACACCAGAGTACGTATTATGTCTAAAGTCTATGATATACATGTATTATCATATTTCTATGTAAACATGTGTATATACATATATAATACATCGTGAATATACATGTAACACTTTCCAACTAGAAGAGTGAACAGGGAGTTTTTTTTTGTGTGTGTGTCCACAGACTTTCAGCCTTTGGCGTTTCTGTGAACCATCCCATAAAATTCGCGTGAAAACGAACTCGTTCTTCGGGTGCGACCAGAGCCTTCGCGCAAAGGGACCCTCCCACTTTGACTCAGCCAGGTGACTGGGGGGCAAACTCACTTTTTGGCTGCAACGAGAAACTCACCAAGCCAAGGACAAAGAAAACAAAAGAACAGTACATATGACATATGAACATTCCTGAATCTTCCAGGTGTGCATGTTGCTTGCCGTTTGCCGACAAAAACACAAATGTGCTGGAAACATGGTCAGGGAAAGTCGACGTTTGGTCGGGGCTTGTCGCCGTTTGGTCAGGGAGGTCTCGACGTTTGGTCGGGGAAAGTCGCCGTTTCGCCTTCATGGATTTGTCCCAGAAGAGTTGCACAATAACAAAAAGTGTTTGGAGGCAAGGAAAAAACGGTTTGCCTGAAAAACACTTTTCAAAGAAGAGGCATGACAAGTACACGCTTTGGACGATCCAGGTTGCAAAGTGGGTTGTATGGAACCAACCAAGTTGCCCTTTTGGTTTCCCTCTAAACCCATGCGTGTTTTTCTCAGGGTAACACGTTCGGGCTTGGACGACAAGGAAACCAACAGGACACCACCAATTTCTCGGGGCGGGTCATCCTATGTGGACACATACCTGGGCTGCCCGTTTTCAGATCCCCTGCTCAAAGTGACTAACTTTTCGTGGGTTAACTTCGGAAACCCAACCACTCAACCACCTAAAACACTAAACCAGCTAAGGAACCGGATGGCCGGGAGCCAGGGACCAAGATACCTCGACCATCCCTAGCATAGGTGTCCTTTTTTCGCAAATAGATGGCCCTGCTAGATTATTGAACCACCCGGCAAACCAGGAATCGCCCTCTATTTGTCAGCCAAACCAAGCAAAAAGGACACCTATGCTCCCAGGCTTGCCATCCGGGCGGCGATCTTGCTCGTGGCACCGCTGGGCTCGCCAAGTCCCATGGACTCGGTGGGGATGCTATTCGCTGCCGCGGATTGAAACATGGCCTCCAGCGGACCGAACCAGCGAGGGGGGAGGGGGGGGAAAACGATCTTCCTGGAAGCCATGCCGTGTGGGTGTGTCTTTTTGGAGGCTACACATTGTTGGGGGGGTTAAGCGGTGTAAAACCCAGTTGGGGACCCCCGTGTGGTAGCTTGGGCTTTGCCTACGTAAAATAGGGGTGTAACGCAACTCAAAGTTCCCTTGTCCAGTGCCCTCCCTCCAACAATCATGGAAGCTGACAGGACCTCGGGTTTTTGGAAGACGATGTCCCTTCTCACTGGCTGAGTGGATGGCCCAACCAAAATGGTCCAGCCCCAAAAAGTGACTAACGTTCATGAACTCAGGATGAGAATCCCATGCTGTCCACGTCCATGATCGTTGGAATGAGGGTGAATTAAAAAAAGTCACCAACCTGAAACAAAAATGGTTGGGCGGCTGAAATAAGGTGGTTGGAGGAAAAAATATCCACGTCAACCACCATTTGGGGTGAATTCGGTCGTGTGAGCTCGGTATACTTCACCCAGATCAGCGCCTCTGCAACGCCCTGGGCCTTGCAAAGGGTCACGTCGCCGTTGAAGATCAGCGACATGTCCTGACGCGTGAGACGTACGGAGAACAAACTCGATATGGGGGGGGGGGGGTGAATTTTAGTAAGGGGCCCCTGTGGTGGACACCAGTTGGGTGGGGATTTATGTCCACCAAGCACTTTGAAGGTAATTCCTGATTAAAGGTCATGCCCATATCATAGACATGGGGCCATGGATAGACGGATGGACATGTCGTGTACGCTTCTATCCACGTGTGCGTTCTAGCACTTGTAAAGCGCACAATTAAAAACACCTCGCATGCTGTCAAACAGGCCTCCCCCGCACCCCCCCCCCCCCCCGCACCCACTTGGAAAAAGGAAACAAGCCACGTCGAGGAAAAGCTAAACGCTAATTACCACTGTCTGGGGGATGTGGTCTTCCTCGAATTGCTGACTCAGCTGCGGCTGCACCACTGGCGCTGGACCCGTAAGCATGGTTGGTTTCCTTTTGGTCTCCCGTCAAAACAGTGCAAAGGAGAGGGTTTCTATCTCGAGAAACCCCATATGCTCCCGCATGTTCCAAGGCACTTGACTGCTAAATGAGGCCGATGTGCGCAACAAAAACACCCCTTTCATGTCAGTCCACAGCCTTTGTGCCTCAAATCAGGGGCAAAAACACTCAACTTTTGCATGGCCCATCAGACTTCACACACAACCAGCATGTGCAAAGACCCTGGGCTTCTTGCTTCATTGCTTTTGGCAAAGCACATCTTCGACAAGTACTGGCCATTCAGCTCCTTTCTTCCTCAAAACATCTGCATGGCGGTAAGAAGGGTCCTTGACATGTCTAACATCCTTCAGGCTAGATGCATCTGAATGCACAGCATCCAATGAGACTTGCCAACGCTGGAACTCCTTTCAATCACGTATTGGGGACATTGGTCTCTCCCTTAGCACAACTTCCAGGCTCTTTCTAGTCCTTCTCTTCAACCACCATGAACCCCAAGAAACGAGAAATCAGGATGGCGATCTGCAGCCGTCGCCGGCCCGAACTGAGGGAAAACGAGTACTTTGCCAAGCTTCGAACCTCCGAAAAGGGCCAAAAGGTTTTGGCCTCTCCCTGGCCAAACCCTAATTTATAGAACTGATAATTCAAGTTTCCCAACTGTGACTAATTCAAATATTTTCGAAAATCACGAAAATATGTAAAGCGTACAGCAAAACTTATGAATAATTTTGCTGATTCACGGGCCGGCCGCAGGAAACATAGCGAGCGACAAATGTGGTTTTGTTTTTGGCTGCCGCCGCATTCTGCTTCCAGTCTACCTGGATCTCTTTGAAAACTGAAGCACCCTGAGAAATGCCAAGACCAGGTTCCTCGAGGTTCCTTCACAAGAATCCCCCAGAAAAAGTGGTTGGACATGAATTCTCTCCATTTTGGGTACCAAAACACACACACACACACTTCCAAACCAACGACTCGCTGGTGCTCAGTACGGAAAGAGGGAATGAACCCAACGGGTCTCCTTAAAGGAAACCACCCGCTGGATGGTGTCTCTCGGGGTCATTCCCACTCATTCCCTGCTGAGATTCAGCAAGATGGTTGTCCCGCTGCCTTGAGCCACAACTTCCATTTGCATATGCCCACCTGAAAACATAAAAAAACAATAGATGTCCAGTGGTGAAATCGATTCCCTTTACAACCCACAAGAGAAAAACAACATAACTATTCGTAGTTAAGCAAATGGCAGATAAATATGTATATATATATATATGCATTATATGTATAAATTTGAAAGAACAAATAGAAAAGAAACAACGAAGTAACAAAAAAAGAGGGAAACAAACAAAAAACGAGTCTCCCGCGCCCCGTCGTTGGTTTTCGTTCGTCTTTCCTCCCGGTGGCTTTCCCGTTCGGGGCGCCTCGGCCAGCTGCAGGTGGCTGAGCAGCAAACCCTTGGCGCCCCCCGCGTCGAAGGCCGCGGCCATGCGCCGGAACATGGGGTCGCTCTGCTCGTCCGCCTCACCCGAAAAACCGTTGATCGATGTGGCGAGGTGAATTTGAGACCAAGGCAAAAAGCTTGTTGGGGCTGAAATGGGAAACCGAGTAAACCGCTGAATGTAAACCGCGTCACCCGAAGAACTGTCGAGCCGTCGGGCCGGCGAGAAGGTGAGGTGAATTTGAGGCCGTGAGGCCGAGACGAAGCGGCTTTTTGGGGGCTGAAATGGGAAACCAAGAGACGGCTGGGGTCTTTTTCATGGGAAGCCAAGAGTAAACCGCTCATTTAAGGGTTCTTCATTTATAGACTCGAGGCTGGGTGGGGCACCGCTGAAATGAAACAATGGGGCTGGGGGTCTTTGGGAACCAAGAGTAAACCGCTCATTTCAAGGGTTCCTCCATTTAGACTCGGGACTGGGGCTTACCTGGTCATGGTTGTAAAGGCTTATGCAGAAACCAGGTAGAAGCACCCAAACTGGGTTGCTCCCTCCACCCCCCGAACGAGCAAACGTCCGAGCTGCTGCTTTCAAAAACACAAGACCAGCCAGGTGGTTTACTTGAATCTGGTTCTGCCTTCATTTTGGAGTGAACTCTTCAACCCCCCTCCAACGGGGGACCTTCGGATGCGAAGCTTGCATTCAGTTTTTGGAAAGACCCTCTCCAATGACCCCGCGTTAAAAGCGGTTCCAGGGATCCACCCCGAAAACTTATGATGGAAACCCCTGACAATGTTCACTTCAATGGAACCCGGCTGACTTGAATCACCAACCAATAGTTGCCCGGACACCTGAAAGGTAGACTCCCCGAAATCACTTCACTCCAAGGAAGCTCACTGACATCATAAAGGGGATTCGATGCTTACGTACAGCACCCCGGAAAGCAAAATTGGACCCCTATAAGTGGTGCCCTTCTCCCCCTTTACACCAAACCCTGATAATTAAAAAATACAATGGAGAAAAACATGAACAATACCCATGCGTTGCTACTCAGAGTGGGGCCACCCCATTTTTGTGTTTTGCATGCAACATCCCTTCTTTGAACAGTCTGAGTCTGTCGGCTTCCATAAAAGGACCGAATCAGCCCCGCCCCTTCAGGGCAATGGGCAACAAAGCTCCGTGGTCCAACTCAGACCCAGGGGTTCCAGGTGATCTTCATAGTTTGGATGGACACCAAGAATGGGTGGATGCCCCTCTTGGAACTCCTAAGAGGGCAAGCAATCGACACCGACACCCACCGAAAACAATCCGGGGGTGCGGGTGGGATTGGCCCAAGGACACCAGAAAAAAAATCGGGAAAAATAACAAAACAACAGCTCAAGAAGCAGGGTCACCCCTGGCTTCTTTGTCACCGCCCCAAAAAAACACGGCAAAAAATGGGACCGATCAACAGGACGCGGCCTCAATGCTCTGCTGCACCAAGTTGGCCTCATTCCTCTCCTTGGTAGGGAGTGGCTTGCAGACCCAAGCCCCCGTTGTAATAGTGGGTAGTTGGCTATCTTCCTGTACAAGTTCCTGCTGGTTTCGTAGCCTCCCACTCAACATGGCGAACGACGCCTGACGCCGGAAAAGGGGGGGATCCTGGAAGACAATCTGTTTGCCTGCTGCGACCTTTTCAAGTCCAAAAAGCCCGGGCATGCGACACCTGTTTCTCGGCGGGTTACCAGCACGCATGAAGTGGTGAAGGACTGTACCGACTGTCTCCAAAGAGGTAACAAGACTAGGTCCTCCAGTCGAGAGGTTAGAATACGGGAACCAACTTTCTTCTGTAGTCTGTTTAGGGGAACCGAATCTCCCAACCAAAAAAGAAACGGTGAGAAAGGGCACCAAATGCTGAGGGACATTCATGGCCAACTATTTTTTTCGGTCTGCGGTTTTCGGCTGCCTGGGGCCAACTGATTTTTTTCGGTCTCTGCCAGGGGCCGGGATCCTAGGGCACCTGGCTGGGGGACCTAGAAGAACAACTCATGCAAATTCCAAAGCCTGGCCCTGACAGAAATCCAAGGCTCGAGGGTGTTCACGCCGCAAATCCGGCGCTTCTTCGTTGGCTTGCCGTCCTCCCCGGGCGCATCCTCTTCCTCGTTGGCCACGTCTGCGGAGTTCAGGCCACCTCTGCACGGATGCGGGTGATGCATGTTTTTGGTTGCCTGATTGATCAATGCTTACATTTGGCTGTGGGTCAAAAAGCCGGTACCAAAATGGAACTCTGTAAGTGGAAACATGGACAACACCCGCGTAACCGTTGCTGATCAGGGCAGTGGGACATGGAATCCATTTCTGTGATACAACCGAAAGGGCCTAACCCCAAAGACTAACCCCCCATACAAAGCAGGAGATTCCCAAAAGTATCACAGAGGTGTGGATAAACCCCTTGATCCTACAACCCTGTTGCTGATACTGGCGTAAGCAGCCTACCAACTGTTTTGTCCATCCACGGTATGATGACGTTGTCCCTATTTTGTGTCAACGATTCCCTCAGTGTTCCAGAAAATAAGACCAAACTCCCACAAGCGTCCGAACACGTACACCTCACTCCCAAATTCACCAACTCTGGAGGAGTATCCTGTTGGTGGAAAAGGATCAACGGATCCATGGTCGGGTTCCTTTTGTAAAAATCTGGGCTCTTCAAAATGGAGGTTGGCCAATCCCAATCCTTACTCCTTTACAAAGGGGACCCTTATGCGACTCAAGCGAACAAAATTAAGGGTTGTCTTCGAGCAGCCCAGCAAAACGAATCTTTCAGAAAAGGGGGTCGTTTATGCCGAATTTCTGATTTCTTTCGACTACCCAGGCTACTCTTTTTGTTTGGCAATTGGGGGGGAGGGGGGTGATCAAAAGTTCCTCTACACGGGATGACCATAATATGTTTCTCCCTAAATGAGAAAAGTTGCCCATGGTCATTTGGGCGCCTTCAACGCCCTATTTATCCCCCACCCCCTCAAAACAAAAAAAGAAAGAGAAACCGGCTCGTGTTTTTTCGCCGGCTTTCTCCGTGCGCGCCAAATTTTGGCTGTCTCTCCGCGCCTAGGACCCGGTAGGTGTCGGTGTGGACACAATCCACGCGGCAGGCGTAGATCCGAGCGGAGGCTTCGATGGTGCAGCTCGCCTGCAGCGAGAAGATGCAAACACTCCTCTAGCTTCCCTCCCATTGAGTTGCCCATGTCCTTTGCCACATGGTCTAAGCTCTACTTCTCTAGGTCCTCCAAATGTGAGAGGCTAGAATAAGGGCACCAACTTTCTTCAGGATCTCTATTCTAGTAGGGGAGCCCTTCCCCAAAAAGGGGTAAAAGGGCACTACTGGGGGACCTAGTCTAATTCCCCCCCCCAGCGCATTTCGCCACTAGAGTAGGTAACCGGGGCCTCCAATAGTGTAAAACGAAAAGGTAGCCATACCTGGGGCCCGAAGAAAGGTCCCAAAGATGTTGCCACTAAAACGGCTTCCCAAAAAGTGAGCAAAGTCCAGGAACTCAGAAAGCGAGCCCCCGGCTTCCGCAAAATGGGAACCCCTCCTTGGTTGATCCTACAAACCGTTTTGAACCCCCTTTGAAAGGGTTTGGAGTCACACTGCCAGTGATTCCACCGGGATCACAGCATCGTTTTGACAAGTACACTCTGCCAGCAGCAAACTCTCACCCGCCACCAACTTCTTGAAGGAGCAGGGTAAGTAAGTGGCTAGTAAGCCTGGTTCAATCCACTTAGGAGACTTATAACCATGGCAAGTGGGAAATAAGCCATGGCCATGGATATTACCCACTTACGAAGTACTCTGCCCCTTGAAGTTGACCATCCTGGCGGTCCGGGCCTCGTGAAATCTATTCTCCATCTCTGCTTCTTCGGCAGTGACACCTCAGTTGAACTTCACAGAATCGCCACAGATCCCTCCAAACCACAAAAGCAGACCCAGTGAGTAAGTTTACCTCTTTAGATCTCTTTGGTAGGTAACCGAGGATCCACACTGAAACAACTGAAGGGTAAATGGCAGATTCCCAAACATACCCAAGAATGCCAGAACGTCCCAACGGCCGATATGCTACCAACAAGCATTGCCCATAGGGATCATGGAAATGACTCCTCCATACAAACAACGACCTCTAGCGGATGGCATACTTCCATCTTTGCAGCCCATCGAACACATACTTCAGCTTCCCTCCAATTGGTGCTTTCCTTTGCCGGTTTGGAGGTTCGGACTCGTGCCGCACTTGCCTACAAGAACCGACGGTGCAAATCCCCAAACCACCAATCCAATCAATCAATTCAGGGGGAGCTGATGCCAAGTGCAAATGACATACAGCATGCAACTGAGACACTGGATCTTCTGGGCTTCTCCTTCTCCTTTGCTTTGGCAGCTTTCCTGAAGCCAAGGCCGGTGTTGTTGTTTTGCTCCCAGTGTCACGGGATCTTAGTGACCTTGGCAGAAAAAAAGGAACCCTCTTGGGGGTGTTCCAATAGTAGCGGCTTTTTGTGAGAAGGTTGCGACTTGTGGCAAACAATCACAGAGCTGCAAAATGGGGAAGTGGTCTTTGATCAGATGCAACCAGCCACTTCTTGACAAAGCATAGGAAAATCAACCATCTAAGCTCAACTTCTCCGGGTCCTCCAGTAAGGTTAGAATAAGGGTACCCTTTTTCCTGTAGTCTACTTCAGACTACGGGAGCCCTCCCCCAAAAAAGGGGTGAGAAAGGGCACCTAGCTGGGGGACCTACTTCTAATCTGTCACTAGCTCAGGAAGAACCGGACCCATCTCCTTTTCTCGGCCCGGGCGCACTGGGCACTTGGCGCGGCCCCCAAACTCCAGGCTGCCCCGATTGAACACGCCGCCACAGTCTGCCTTTTAACCGAGTCCCAGGAAATCAAATATCGGGGGCTCTGCATGCCCTGCAACATCCCGAAATGGCGCAACGGTGTGTATTTTGGTTTTCTTTAAACCACCGAAAAATGGGTACCCTCAAAGACACACACACACAACAAACAACAGGTTTTCCTTTTGGCTTCCCGATACAACGCCACAAAAAGACAGACCGTTGTCTTCTTTTCTGAGGGTGCCCCCCTTAGGCTTGACTCCGCTTTCTGCTCCACCATTCCCTTTGCCTGCGAGAAAACATATTATATTCGTCATGAGGAGAGGTGGTAATTCAGCTCCACTGAAGAGGAACAGATCCCTGGGAATATGTTGTTCACACAAACAAACAAACAAAAAGTTCCAGCCCATTGCACGGGTATTCCTGAACTTAAAGCCGCATCAGGGGAGACTTGAACAAGATGTCTCTCTTTGCAGATTGAAAGTCCCAGATTTCCGCATTTCCGAAAACCCTCCACGCCTGCCGCCCATGAAGGAATCCACAATGTCATCCATGTGCTCGATCAGCGGAAGCTCAAAGGCATTCTTGGCGGAGATCTTGTTTTCATTCACCTCAAACGTGCTAGAACTGTTCTTGACCAAAGGTAGTGAGTAAGTGGGTAAACCCATTTGTCGCCAACATGTTTGTCAACAACAAGTGTGGGTGTCAACCGACAATTCTCACAATTCAACACACATTTATAAACCCATTGTTGTAACTTTTAAAGTGGAAGGGGACGCTCCGGATGCCATGTTGGTCTCCCTTTTGAAGTGGGCAAGCCCATTTGGTCCGGAAGGGACCAAATGCCACTTCGATACCTGACGAAAGGAATCCGAACTTGAGCCTCGTGGGAAGTTCGGGCTGCAAACTTTGCGGAGCCAAACGGGGGCGTGGAACCAAAGGGCAGCACACCTCGGAACATTTCGGAGTTGCTCTTTCTGGGAACTTCCGAAAAAGTCCCCAGCTGCTCAGAGACCCAGTGCTCAGGACAAAAGCATCGGGTGCACCTGGATTGCCGTGCTTGCATGCATAAACAGTTGACACGAGATTGGTTGAAACGAGGCCAATTTGAACTAAGCGTCCTTTGCGGGTTGGGGTCAAACTGACCCCTCACCATTTGTTCACTGTGAGAAAAGTGCCAAGGGTAAGCTGCAGATACCTTTCTTTACCACACCAGCACAAGGGCAGATGGCACCATGGCGGTCTGGGACTTGCATTGCTGGAAGGGTCGTTTCAACACAAGTAATCAAGTAACCAAGGCTTGATGCGCCCGGGTGCTTCTTCCCTAAACCATCCAAAGGCGCCCTCCACTTCTTTCCAAAGAAGTCCGACTAGTCAAATGTAATGGAGGTTCTGGACAACCAGCAATCAGCGCATGTCAGTCATCCAAGCCCAGCAGGTGGATATGGATGTCCGAAAGACTGGCACGGACCAGAATGACCGGGATCGGCTTGTGCGGCCGAGGTGCGAGCTGGACACACTTGGAGTAGAGCTCCCCCAGGGAGGACCCCCCGATGCTCGCCATTGCCAAAGGCCCCGCGCGCTCGCGCGTCTTTTTTTTGCTTCCGCCGAAGACTTGGGCGGCGTTGGCTGCGGCGCTCCCCGGAGAAATGCGGTTTTTCCACGGGGCTATATAGGGGACCCCAGAAAAGAACGAAAACCAACACGCCACACCCTTTGGGATTGTTTTTGTTGGAATGCTACTATTATATAACCATAGAGGTCTGTCTCGGACTCGGACCTGCTTTCGGACGGTAGGCTCAATCAGGCAAGTGGGCCAAATACGAGTGCGAATAGATACGTCCTGCAACGCCTCTTCTGGGTATTGGTCGCCAAGAATGGCCAACATGTGAATGGCCCGTTTCCCATACTGAGGCTTGATGGACTATATCCGAGGCTGTCAAAAGTGATATATGCTGATGCTTGATTGGATCGGGAGCCGAACACAGGTCCAATGATGAACGCTCCTCAGCCGGGCCCAAAAGAAACACACATGCCCTGCACATCCTCACTGACCTACTGTCCACCTGGGATTAGTAAAGAGGGTCTCTCCCCCTAACAATGGGGGGCACCTGGAATAATTTCTCTTGGTCCACCTCAATTCAGTTTCCATTTGGGTGCGGCTCAAAAGGGGTTACGCAGGATTTGGTCCATGTTTCCACTTACCAGGGTTCCAGTTTGGTGCCGGATTTTTGAGCCACAGCCATTTGATTTAGTATTGCGGGAGCTTCCCTTTGGGATGTTGAACTGACTTTCCATTTGGGGAGCACCAGGGGTCACAAGTTCCCATCGTCAAGTGCTCGGAACCCAAACCACCTGGACGTGCGGGGTCTATAGCCTGGGGTGAAGCTATCCACCCCACATGGACATCGCCAAGGGACATGTTCCAGGAATCCCAGGAGTAAACCCTGACCATCCAGGGTCATGTATCAGGTTGGCACCAGCTTAAGAAACTACTGGTTGAAACCAACAAATCACTACGGGGTGCACTTTGTTAGGGGACCCCCCTTAAAAAAAGGTGGTTTTCCTTTTGGCTTCCCTTTAAACTCGACCAAAGCCCCCCCTAACAAAAACACAAAACACATTGCAGGCATTGGCTGATGACTTGTTGATGTCCCCTCAAAATCCTAGGGATTGGGTGCCCTTAGCAGACTTCCTCCAGACTTCCCAGTGATTCCCCAATCAACACATCTAAGGAGCCACTCTCATCAATTGGTCAAAAGGCGCCTGACCGGGTCCGCCAAAACCTCCCCAGGGCTTGAGGCGAGGGAGACCTATTGCTCAAATCCGACGATGGTCGCAAAGAGCTCCACCACGAGGTTCAAAAGGTCAAGGGTAAGTTGCAAATAAAAATCCCGGCGAGTAGCGGCGAGGTGATCAACTTTGCACATTGCACCCACCGACATGTCGCCAAAAAAAAAAAAAAACGGTCGCTTTCAGACTCAGAAAGCGCAAGCCCTCGGAGTTTGGATGGGTACATGGGCGTTCCAAACCATGTGGCTGTGGCAATGGCTTGCCCTGGGGAACGGCTTGCCAAGGACTAAACCCTTCCTCGAAGTTTCACGATGACCCATACCCATGCGAAAACCCCATGCGGAAGGAAGAGCATCACTCCAAGAAGTCGATGACGGGGCCCGAGCTCATTTTGCCTCCAGAGCACTACATCAAACATATAGGCAAGATGTCTAGGAGTCAAACCCGAAACCTGTTTTGCCCCCTTCTCCACCCCACCCCACCCCACCCCACCCCAGCCCAGCCCACCCCACCCCACCCCACCCCACCCCACCCCACCGCACCCCACCCCACCCCACCCCACCCCACCCCACCTCACCCCACCCACCGTGGCCCCGAACAACCCAAGTCACGAAGCCCACACATCTCTCCTCGTCGTTGAGCCGAGGTCGCATGAAGCGCATCGGCACCGATCTGTTGGGCTGCAGCGCATCCGGCGTGGGCTCCCTCGGGGCTCACATCGCTTCGCCGCGAATTTTGGGTCGCTGCAAAAACAGCTTCCCCAGGGAGCAACTCCTGGGTTGGTCAAAAAGGTAGCTGGACCCTCAATTGAGCTTGCCTGACTGTTGGTTCCCAAACTCATGCTTGGTGTAAGCGTCCCCTTTTCGAGGCTTCGCGACCGTTCGAGAGATGCAGGGAATGAGAAACGGAATGACCCCTGTCGAAACGCCATCCCTTTCCGAGTTGGCTTCCTAGATAAAGAAAACATAAAACACCGGTTCATACAACCAACACCCGGACTCGTTCTCATGCCCTACCTTTAAGACCTGATCTCGCCCACACAGGCCGCAAATCCAGGAATTTGCAAAAACACAAAAAATACTCAGAAAAAACCCAATCCGAAAAACTCAATCTGAAATAGTCTGAATCTGGGAAGACTCAAAAGAAACTCAAAAAAAACTCAAAACAGACTCAAAAAAAACTCAAGCAGGGGTCTGGGGAGGGTTCTGGGGGGGAGGGGCAAAATGCAAAAACAACCGCAGAAAACACAAAAATACTCAAACAAAACTCAAAAAAAACTCAAAACAGACTCAAAAAAAACTCAAGCAGGGGTCTGGGGAGGGTTCTGGGGGTGGGGGAGGGGCAAAATGCAAAAACAACCGCAGAAAACACAAACAATACTCAAAAAAAACTCAAAAAAACTCAAAACAGACTCAAAAAAAACTCAAAACAGACTCAAAAAAAACTCAAAAAAAAACTCAAGCAGGGGGCTGGGGAGGGTTCTGGGGGTGGGGGAGGGGCAAAATGCAAAAACAACCGCAGAAAACACAAAAAAAACTCAAAACAGACTCAAAAAAAACTCAAGCAGGGGGCTGGGGAGGGTTCTGGGGGTGGGGGAGGGGCAAAATGCAAAAACAACCGCAGAAAACACAAAAAAAACTCAAAAAGAACTCAAAAAAAACTCAAAAAAAACTCAAAACAGACTCAAAAACAACTCAAGCAGGGGTCTGGGGAGGGTTCTGGGGGTGGGGGAGGGGCAAAATGCAAAAACAACCGCAGAAAACACAAAAAAAACTCAAAAAGAACTCAAAAAAAACTCAAAAACAACTCAAAACAGACTCAAAAAAAACTCAAGCAGGGGTCTGGGGAGGGTTGGGGGAGGGGCAAAATGCAAAAACAACCGCAGAAAACACAAAAAAAAACTCAAAAAAAACTCAAAACAGACTCAAAAAAAACTCAAGCAGGGGTCTGGGGAGGGTTCTGGGGGTGGGGGAGGGGCAAAATGCAAAAACAACCGCAGAAAACTCAAAAAAAACTCAACACAGACTCAAAAAAAACTCAAAACAGACTCAAAAAAAACTCAACAAAAACTCAAAACAGACTCAAAAAAAACTCAAGCAGGGGTCTGGGAGGGTTCTGGGGGTGGGGGAGGGGCAAAATGCAAAAACAACCGCAGAAAACTCAAAAAAACTCAAAACAGACTCAAAAAAAACTCAAAACAGACTCAAAAAAAACTCAAAAAAAGACTCAAATCTCCTGCTGTGCTTTTTGTTGTGTTTAGTTTGAGTCTCCTGCTGTGTTTTTCTTGTGTTTTTTTTGAGTCTCCTGCTGTGTATTTTTGTTTTTTTTTGAGTCTCCTGCTGTGTTTTTTTTCTTGTGTTTTTTTTGAGTCTCCTGCTGTGTTTTTCTTGTGTTTTTTTTGAGTCTCCTGCTGTGTTTTTCTTGTGTTTTTTGTTGAGTCTCCTGCTGTGTATTTTTTGTGTTTTTTTTGAGTCTGTGTTTTCAGTTGAGTTTTTTGGCTGAGTTTTTTCTGAGTTTTTTTTGAGTTTTTTTTTGTTCCGCTAAAACCGCTCCTGTCTGAGCCCGTCTGGTCATAACCCTACCTATCGCACCAGCAAGTTCTCTGGTGACCGCTGGGTGAGCTCCCGCATCTGGACGCGGACAATAAGAGCTCTTACACAGGGCGGTGTCGATTTGGCTTCCCTGAAGACCCGAAATACCCTGAGAACAAGACAAGCACCCACCCCTCTGACAACATGATGCGTGTGTGTTGTTGAGGCTACCACACATTTTGGGCCTTCCCCGGTTCTGAAATATAGCCTTCTGAAATGGAGGTCCCACATGGAACCTGACAAAAAGGGGTGCCTGAAACAATACACTGGAATCTAGTTGGGCGTGGAGGTTATGTGCCGTCCCTGATAAAGGACTTGGTGAAGGGTCGGGGCTCTCCATTGCAGAGTCTGCGTTCTGCATTGGAGGGCTCAGGAGCCTTGGTCTAAGTGCATTTGTACCAATTTCTGTGGTGATCCTGGCGGATTGGCCAAAAACATCAAGACTTGTTGTTGCAAAAAAAAGGCTAAGTCTGGAAGCTCAGGAAGTGGCGGTGGTCGCATACAAGGGGTACAAACTCACAGTGGTGGCATAGCCGGTTTGGCAAAGAAGCCGCATGACACCGGTGCCCCATGGCGGTTCTTGCTGCGGTCGCTCAAGTCAGGTGTCCGGACTGCTCTGAAGCTCTACCAGCCTCCAACTTGCTCATGTCGCAATACAGAGGCAAACTTTGGGACCAAATCCATCAGGATCCTTGAAACAACATAGTCTTTTCCAGCCAATCGAGCAATCTCTTTCTGTGTGCACCTGGAGAGAGACATTGGGACTCTCGTTGATTTCCCGCGAAGAATCAAAAGCTCCTTGCTGCTTTTGTTGTTCTTTGGGTGGGGGGAGTCGGGGAGGTTGGTCGATGTGGAACGGAAGCAAAGAAATCAGAGTTGCTCCGACTCCAGGCACTCTTTCACAGGGGTAGAAAGCAGTTTCAGCTGCCCTCAATTGTTGCTTCGGTTTGGCGGTTTGGTGGATTAGGCGGTCTCCAATTTACCCTCGACAAGAACCAGGGGTTCAAAACCCAAACCACCAATCCAAACATGTTGGAAAAATCGTGTTTCTCACTGAATGCTCGCTGGAACACTCTGTGTGGGAATTCTGGCAGCGGGAAACGCCAGAATCACAAACATGTCGGAAACAAGTCCCCACCGAACATTTCTGGCATGTTCAGATTCTGCATACTTAGTCTGCCCTGAAACAAAAAAGGCACTGGCGTGGAGTAGACCCAAAAAACCACCGGAAGAAACAAAAATCGACGTGAGGTCC